TGCCAAAGGGAAAGGGACTGGGGAGGATGGGGGGGAAGGGAGGGATAAGGGTGGGGAAAAAGAAGGGGGCATTACTATTAGCATGTATAATGTAGGGGAGGGCATGGGGAGGGCTGTGCAACACGGTGAAGACAAGTAGTGATTCTATAGCATCTTACTACACTGATGGACAGTGACTGTGAAGGGGTATGTGGGGGGGACTTGGTGAAGGGGGGAGCCTAGTAAACATAATGTTCTTCATGTAATTGTTTAACAAAACATTGTAGATTAACAACAACAAAAAATTAAGTGGAAGAGTCAACTTTTTCAAATATGATCCATTATAACTACACACATATGGACTCTTGTGTTCCAGACACAGACGGGAGCATCTTTCAGACTGGCCACATGCACACCTGCAGCGCCATCCTGCTGGGGTTGTGTGTCCTTCATAGCCTGACAAAAATGCCTAGACATGTGGAGCACTAACCTGCCAAGCTGAACCTGGGAGCTCAGCCAGTGGGCAGGGCTGGTAGTCCCACCCCTTCTGTACCTGTGGATCAGAAAACTCTCAGTTGCAGAGCTCCTATACAGGCAAACTTCTGACCAGCTCTAAGTGGGAGAGAATTTCTCTTCTGACTATTGCTTTGGGAGTCGCATAGGCCAACTAATAATCAGATTATCAGGTGCTTATAATTGGATTGCAATTTATGTCCTTGCCTCCTTCCCAACAGCCAGTGCAGCTGACCAACAGAGATCCCAGGCCCACACGGACTCTTCTCACCGAGGCCGTGGCCACTGAGCCAACAAGATTCCACAGACTCCTACCCCAGGCTCCCCCTTGCTGCATGCGTCTGCCTTCCAGACCTCCCTGCTAACTCCGTCGCATCTCCACCCACACCAGGGCTGGCTACTGACCTTCCTGCCATCTGTCAGGTCCCTTCTTTGGACCCTTGTCTTTCCAGCTCTTCTCACAATCGGTAAGGACTCAGTCCTGTAATAAATTCCTATTCCATCATGCTGATAGTGGTTCTGCCTTCAGCTGAGCCCTGAGCAATACAGTGCCCCAGCTCTCCGAGCCTGTTTCTCTCTCCTATAAAATGGGGATGGTGTGAGACACACCAGCTCTAGGAAGGGGGCTGCATCCAGGTGCTCAGGGCCTGTGCTGGGGACTGAATGTTTGTCATAATCTGAGGACAAGTTTTAGGCCAGAATCATACCTCAGTGAAGCTTTCCATCTCGGCACGTGCTATGGAGACGCCACAGAGCAGAGCCCACATGAGGTCAGTGGCCACAGTTAGGCTGGTGGTGGAAGGTGTGGGGTGTCCTCCCAAGAGTCCAATTGGTTATGTGGCACTGTGGGTGCTGTGACCAAGCATTTGAGGCAATGCTGGTCTGCGCCTCTCCTGTTTGGATGCTGGTATCTCAGTTGGCTCCCCTGGGGAGCCAGTGTGTGCTGAGTTAGGAGGCTTCCGGGAAGATGCTAGGAAGGGTGAGAGGGCTCGTTGGGGCTGAGGCATGCTCTGCTGACTTGCTGGCACGGTGGCTCTGTTTCTGTAATGGTGATAAGCTAATCTTGCCTTCTGAGGCTGGAGAGTGGATCTGTAGATGCTGTCTCTGGGTTCAGCCCACAGAGCACCCGGCCACCTCTGGCCCCAGGGTCTTTACTCCCACTGTGACATTCTGCCCTCGAATGTCCACATGACTCACTCACTTTATTCAGGTCTCTGTTCATTCACCCCCTCAGAACAGCCTGTGTGATGTTCAAAATAATGCCCTCTTCCATCACCCTCCATCCCTTACCCTGCTCCATTTCTTTGTAAAATATCACCACTTCACACATTATGCATTTCTACATAGTCTTCCCTCCTCTTACTAGAAGGCAAAGCTCCATGCAAGAGCTTTTTTCCATGTTCACTGTTGGATCTGCGACACTCAGAACAGCACCCGGCTCGTAGCAGACACCAGTACAGTCCTGCAGGTCAGAACTGACCTCTGCATAAAAAAAGAGTCTCATGACCTCACCTCTACCTCTGTCTTCATTCATGCTTGAAAACACTGAAGGCAGCACTCCTAGCTTGGAGGAAGGCAACTTTTTAGTGTCAGAAAGACTGGTTTGATCAGTTACGTACTGAGATGAGTGTTCAACATCCAGGGGCTATTTTAGTCTTCTCTTCTAATCATTACTCTTGAAAATGGGATCTGTAACCATTTTGGAAGTGGATTTGGTATGATTAAATTCTTTCCTGGCCTAATCCTTTATGGACAGCAAAAGTTTTAAATGAAGAATTAGAATGGATTTGCTGATGTTTGATTGCTTGCATGGTAATTTACCCTGGCTCATTTTAAAATCAGGGCTGAGAGTCATGCCCTGAGGAATACCCCCACTGGATGTTGGGTGAATGGAAGAGAGAAGATCTTACAGAATGACTACAGGGTTGACACGGGAGACAGAAGGGCCAAGGCCCTTGAGGAGAGCTGTGGGGAAGCCCAGGCACTTTATTTTGCAGGGAGTGCCAGCCCTTCCTGGTGAGGCTGTGGCATGGCTGCATTATAACCACTGGCCTGGTGTCTCTGTTTTTTCCTGGAATCCCCACCATCACAGTTTAGTAAACGCAAAAGTGGGTGTGCAGACAGTAGGGCACAAGGAGGGTCTGGTGAGAACCTTTAGAGCAGGACTTCAGGGACAAGTCGGGGTCCCTCAGGGAGGAGGAGGGGAGTCACTTGTGTTCCTGGCCCACCTGCCATTGAGGTACTTGCTCCCAGAGGCTGCTGTGTTTGCAAGCCCAGCCCAGTACAGAATCTGGGGTTATCATGATGACCTGAAGCACTGTTTCCAAGAATATAAGATAGAAAAGAAAGCTTTCCACCCAAACTGTAAATGAAAAGGCATGGGCACTTGATGGGGCTGTGCCAGTGAGTTGGGACACTGGCATTCCTTGTAGTGGGGCAGCCGGGTTTCCTCTCTCAATGCCAGTCACACATGTTCAGACTTGCCAGGCCCTGTGGGCCGAGCTGGGGTAGAACCTGCCTCTTTGCCCAAACCTTTGGTAACTCTCAGAAAGTGGGATTTTCCTCTTCTGCTGATTTGATTTTTAACTTTGGGGATTTATCGTTTGCAGAATCTTTAGCTTTTGGGTGGAGACCTATTTCTGAGACACCATGAGAAGGGTTTGCTCCCCCAAGGCTGATATTTTAATGAGTGTTTAGGGCCCCAGCCTCCAGATTCACAGCTGCCCTGCAACTTTTGTCCTGTCGGGTGGATCCCCCAGTCCCGTGCCTGCCGGCCACCTGGCCAGGCTGTGTTAACGGAGAGTCATGGAATCACTCTCTGGGAATCCCTATGTTCCTCTCCCATCACGAACTTAGCTACACTCATGTGAAAATGGTGACTTGGGGTAAAACGTGTGTCCTGACAGCTGTTTTCCTCTTCCAGGAATGTGGGTAAGCATGGCCCAGGCTCTGGAGGAGTGCCAACTCAGCCACAGGCTGGCCACCACAGTGTAGCCCTTTCACTATAAAACCCTCGATTCAGTCCCCTTCCACACTGGGTAGGAGACTGTGAGGAGGCTGCTGGGGGCTGGTGCCCTCTCCCAGCTGGGCCTCAGCCCTGAGCCTGGAAACCCAGTCATCCCTCTGCCCTCGACCCAACACTGAACTAACACAGGTGAGCACATTCTTTATGCCGGACCCAGTGCCACGCAGTTTACCTCACTCACTTCCAGCCCTGGGTCTGTCTGAGAAGCCCCCAGCCGACAAGCTTTTGCCCTTGGTCAGCAGCAGGGCTGGGATTTGAAGCCCCATGAGTCTGACACCAGAGCCTATGCTCTTAACCCTCTGCCATTCTTCCCAGGGGGCCTATTTGATGATTCATTTCTTATTCTATACCCAGAGACAATGAGGCGTTAACCAGGAGAAAAGGGGACTATTATGATATCACTATTTGCCATTTATCTAAATTAGATAATAAGTCACAGAGCTACTTGAAACAATATACATGTCAACATCCTGAATAGCTAGTTATCAGTGAGTGCCATTTGATGATGCCTGTGGTACAATTAACACTTTTGTATTTAATGTATTTCTGAGAAATGGAAAAGTGAATGAGTAAATGTCCTCCTCTCCCTTGGGGATGGGGCCACAGCCCCCATGGTGGTGGGGGGCAGGATGGTGTGGGCTGGTGGGTGGGGGCAGCGTCCCCAGCCATCTGCAGGCTAGCCGGTCAGTGTGGCAGCAGGTCCAGCTGAGTGATGCTGCTGAGCCCCAGATAACTCCGTGCCCACTCATCAGCTTCAGCATAACTGGACATCCGCCACGGGCATCTCCAGATGTTTGCCTTTATCAGATGTCGATGCGGCTCAGTGTTTTCATTGAGAGCCTCCTAAAAAGCTCTAGCTGGTCGGGGATGCTTATTGTTCATTTTATTTGAGTTCCTTATCATGTGCAAAATGTTCCAGGCACCATTAGGAGACACAAAAGTCTGAGAAAACACAGTCTCAGGGGGCGGAAGCTCACTGTAGCGTGGAGGAGACACAGCCACCGACATTTACAAACATTTGCTGAACACAATCAGCTGGTAGGAATGACAGTCACAGCAGCACATCAGGACTTGGGGGATGGTGTGGTACAGACTGAGGATTTAATGCTCGCCTGAGGGGATCTTCTAAAATCAGATGGGTGTTCCAGGCTGTTTGCTCATTAATGTGGTCTACAGATTATTTCTCAGCACATTTGGGGTGTGGGGGCCAGAGGTGGGGCAAAAGGTCAATCAGGAAAGGATTATAGGGGACACATATCTTGCTGGAGGTGAACATTTGAGGTGCAGAAACAGGCACATTATAATTACTACTTAACAATAAATGTAGCTTGGCAAGATGCATTGATTTACACATAGGTTGCTAAGGGCACTTAAGGGAAAACAAAACGTAGGCAATGAGAACAGCCCCCTTCAATTTACCAAATTCATGTCTGAGACAGCACCATAAAAATGTAGAGAATCCTGCTCAGAGGCATAAATTAAACCTGTCTTCCTTGGAAAAGGATAATTTAAATGATCAATAACCTATTTTGAAAGAATACTTTGAGAGAATTCCTCTCTTAAAATTGACTTCATTTATTCTCCTCTTATCAGAAATGGATTTGTGGAGGCTTATAACAAAAGATATGACAGTGAGGTTATTAAAATAGAAATGGGAAGTTAGAACCCAGTCAGAAAAGAGAATACAAATTTTCTAACATAATGGCCAACCTTCCTTCTGTGACCAAGCTCTAAATTTAGCTCTGAGCTTCCTGGAATCCAAGATGGAAAGGGAAACATAATCAATTACATAGGTTCAGCTAGTAAGATGAACGAAGGATGTCAATTTGTAAGTACTTAATTATTTGTGAATTTATAGAAGCAAGAGAGGCAGAGAAAAATTCTGGGGAAATGGAGTGATATTTTAAAGGTATTTAGAAAGGAAAAGATGAACTTTGACATATTTTTGTGAGAGGCAAAGCTTGGGCAACCATGACAGATGCATCCACTAAGCTCTGGGTGAACCCAGGGTGCCTCTGATTTGATCAGTTTATTGTTGTATGAATCATTTCCCATGGTGAGAAAGCAAGGCCATGGATGGATCAGGACCCAGGCACTCAGCATGTCTGGCCTATCTGCAGGGAAGAGGCTATGTTCTATTTCTCTGGTCTGCCCAGACAGTGCCTGGTACATTTTGCATGTAAAGAACTCAACCATGCTCTGTCTTCCCTGGGTTGAGAACTCCTGGGGGCCAAGGACATATTTCCAGCACCCCTGGGGTGTCTGCCTGCTACTAGTGGCATGTAGTTCGTGCTGGATAATAATAGCTCACCAACTAAAAACTGATAAAGTATTCATAAAATGCAAACACCATTGGCAGCTTAGTGGGAGCATTTCACAACTCCCACCAACAGCAATCAAATCTGCCAGTTTTCCCCACAGAGAACTCCTGGATGTACCTGCCCAGGGGCAGATGGGCAGTTGTGAAGCACTGGCTGAGTGGGTGCACTTGTGATATTGGACTACTTTGAAGAAGGACCTTTGTGGCCCTCCTACTGGAGTGAGTGCATGTGGAGGGCCTCTGCTTAAGCAGGCTGTGTCCAGCCTCTCCAGGGCCCCTACTAGGTGGTTGTGGGGGAGGGGCCTCAGTGACAATGCTGACCTGTCCTCCCAGCAGGCTTTAGGGTGGGATTCCAGCAGGCACAGCATTTACCAGCTGGTTTGCAGTCGCCTTTTATCTGCAGTTGCTCAGTGTAGATTGCTATGCTTCCCTAAAGACCTTTTGTGTTTCACCATCTGTTTGAAAACGCCCTAGAGGGCTCATTTCAGCCCAGTGGGGATCCCCCTTCCTGAGAAGTGGGGCCCCTGGCTCAGGAGGCAGGGTCTTGTGGAGGCTCCTGAGATGGGGATACTGGTTGGGGGAGTGGTCAGCAGGGGAAGTGGGCTAAGGCCTGACACTGAATCTCCAGAAAGAGGCTGCATCTGAGAGGAAGACATGGCCTGTGGCCAAGGCAGCATGTGTGGGTCCCTGCTGTTCAACCCAAGCTGGGACTATGTTCAGCTGGGTCTGAAGTGGGGAGCTTGGAGCAGGAGCGCTGCCTCTGGGCACAGCAGTGGTCTTCTGCCTGGCCGGGAGGCTTTGTGTCAGTCAGGTTCCTCTTCCGGTCTCAGTTTTCTACATCTCTCAAGGGGGCTGGAGGGTTTGGAGCTTGGCCAGGTGTGGTTGTGCTTAGTTTCCAGTCCTGGAGGTTGAAGACCAGCTCTCTCCCCTAGGTCCTCACTTGTTTGACACAGGTTTATACCCACGGGGAGGAGGCTGAGCTTAGTCACCCACCTGGGCAAGCCTCTTGGCCTCCCTGGCCCTGTGTGAGAAGTGGGGCACCCAGACAAGCCCTTCCTGTCCCCCTGGGCTGTAGGGGTGAAGTGAGGCACCTGGAGAGGCAGCCCCCACCCCCTATTCCACCTCAGGAGGGCTGAGGAGTCGCACTCAGGAGATTGCAGCGCCCAGCTGCACAAATGTCCAGCGAGTGCTGGGGTTGGTTTTACAAACTGCAGTTACTCCAGGGGTGTTTGGGAAGCACAGAGCTCAGGGCAGATGCTCCTGGGGTCAGGAAAAGGGGAGAGCAGAGGGGGCGGGCCTTGCTGCCCTTGGACCTGGGATAGCCCCCTCAACCTGCACATTACTGGTGCTGTCACCCCAGATGCCACTTTCAGGTTCAGGCACAAGTGATGCATGAATTCCCCTCCCTTGGTGGGCCTCAGCACTGCCAGCCCCCGCCTCAGGGGTAGGACTGTCCTATATTTTTATATGCTAAATCTGGCACTCCTCTGTGAAGGGGTTAAGAATAAACAGTGGATGAGCTACTGGATTTAAATCAGACTGACTGTAGCCACCTGAGACTCACAAAAAGCTGTGAGTGCACAGCATTCCCAGCGACAAATCCTCACTTTGCTGCAGGGTTTGACGGAGAGCCATTTTTTCTGTTTCTCCACCACCATGGATGTAAATACTGGAGTAGATTCTGTGTGTTTGGTTTTTTAATTCAAAAGTGTCCCAGGCATAGAGAAGGATTTATAAGCCTCATGGAGGATCCAACACTCCCGTTACAAGTGATCTAGGGGAAGAGTAACAGAGACATCTGCAGCATCGGTGGGCCCTGATCCTATAGTGATGGAGTGCATTCAGACAAAGGGAAGACCCCCACGGCAGGACCAGGGCATCTGAAATGGCAGGTTAGGTATCGCTCTGACTTTGCACCAGATCCAGGCACGCTCTGCACAAGGGGGGAATCGACTGAGTACCACTGAGTGCACCATGGGAGGGTGGAGGGTGGCTGCTGTTCAGCATTAAGGTGGGAAGAGGAAAACAGAACCAGTTGGAGAAGCCAGCCGAAGAGCCCATATGGCTCTAGGGCCAGAATGCCCCTGTGGGCATGGTGGAGGGCAGTGTCCCTGTGCACAGCCCCTTGGATGGTCAGACCTACAGGGAGGGTCAGCCCAGTCCTCACCTCCCAGGCCCAGGGATCAGAGAGCACAGACTCCTTGGGCACCTGGAACTTGGGCACTTCTGTGGCATTGGAATTGGTGGCTCCAGCTATGGACGTCATGCTGCCTGCCCGATGGGGCCCAGAGCTGGGGTCTGAAGGCAACTCCCTGACACCCTCCACCATCCCCTGCCAAGGTGCCTACTACAGTTCAGGCTGGAGGCCTGGGCTTGTGGGGCCCAGAGCAGCCCCTCTCTGGATTCCCTGCTTGGGGCCCCTCCTGCATCGCCCTGCAGGCATGGATAGAGGGGAGGGGAGCAAGGGGTGGGAGGGGATGGACTAAGGCTGAGCTGATGGCCTGTTGGCCTGCCCAAAGGAACTGAGACTGTGCAGGTGGAAGTGATGAGGGACAGTGATCAAAGATGAGGCTCAAAGCAGTGGAGGAATGCGCAGACATGTAGAGCACCCTTGTAAAACTGGCTGGGCCACTAAAACAAGCCCCATGATTTACCTCAGTCTTTGACTCTGTAAAATGGAGCTCCCACTGCCCTTCCTGTTCTTCCCTGGCACACCCAGGGGAAGCCACTGTGGATCCCAGGCAGCAGGAGGGCCGTCAGGAAGTGCTAGGGGAGGGCATTGAGTCTCCGAATAGAAATGATAGGCACGAGGAATTCAGGAGTCTGGATCATCAGGTTTGGAGGCAGGTGGATGGGAGGCCAGTGTGCCTTGAGCAGAAATAAGGGTGTGGGGGAAGTAAATGTGTTTTATGACATGATGAGTTACAGAAGGTGTCAGGCAGCTGGAAATGCAGACCTGGGTAAGAGGAACTGCCGAAGCAGGAGGCTGGTGAGGTTCAGAGCATCAGGAAGTTTGCGAGCAGCTGAGGGGACCATTTGCAGAGAAGAGAAACAGCCAAAGACAGCACTGTGGGGAAGGCCAGCATGCAGAACCAGAGGGACAGGAAGGAGAAGATGGGAAGGAGGGTGATGGGAGATGAAGTCCAAGGAGGCTAAGGAGGCAGAAGTAGCTGCTGGGCAGCGCTGTGCCAGATGAGACTGGGCAAACCGGGGCACCTTCCTGGGAATGAGTGGATGGTGAGGACATGGAAGGAGATGTTACTGTCAAGGTATCCCCACAGCAGCCCATTAAGAACCATGAGTGCCCACTGGCTCAATGCCCAGGGCCAAGATACACCGCCATTCCTGACTGTTAGACACAGCCTCCTGGGAGTGGGCAGGGAGGACGCCCACAGCTAGGACTGACAGCCCCCAAGTCCCACAAGCGGTTATAAAAAGTCCCTTTTATAGCACCAAACATATATAAAAGGTCAAGGTCAGGAAATTGAACAGATTTCCAGCCTCATCTATCTCCTAAAACACAGCTGTGAATCCAGAAGTGAACAGAAAGTTTCTCTGAATGGAAAAATGGCCACACAGCACCTCCAATACTAGCATGCTTTTCTTTGAAAAGAGAGACCCTGAAGTCCTCACTCAGAGCTGACCTGCTTATGTTCTGACAAACATTGTTACCTGGTTTGAATTTTTACAAAAATCAGAATCAAGACAAAAAGCACAAGGTATGTGCCTCTGCAAATCTCAAATGTGTGAGATCATCTTGCTGAGGGATTGGCCTGGACAGGTTCCCACTTCCCACTCAAGACCGAGTCCCATGTTTTCGTAATGAGAATCCCCGAGTTATGAAGACATTGTGAAGTGATGTTGCATCTCTGTTGCTTAAGAAGGCATGGCTGTGTATGGTACAGGTCAGGAAGTCATGGCTTAAAAAGTTTCAGCTCTTAGACAAGTGGTGACTCTATAGCACTTTATTATGCTGACGGACAGTGATTGCAATGGGGCGGAGGTGGGGGGGGGATGATAATATGGGTGAATGTTAAAAACACAATGTTGCTCATGTGAAACCTTCATAAGATTGTATATCAATAATACCTTAATTTAAAAAAAAGTTTCAGGTCTTGAAGAGGGAATGGAACCATGTTTATTAAGCACCTATTATGTACTCAAAGCTTATGTACATTAACCTCCTAGCAATCGTGTAACTATTATCTTTACCATTTTATAGGAAACAGACTTAGAGAGCTGAAGTGATTTGTCCCAGCTCACACTGTGCGTGCTTTCCTCATGTCACCCCCTGCTGCCCTCCAGTTCTCAGCAGAGTGCCTGTGTGGACTGCCCGCTCCCTGCCAACAGGTGGACCGACTGGGCCTGAGCTCGCTGTGGGGCTCTGTCCTGCCCTGGCCTCCACAGCTCTGGCCTCTCTGGGGATTGGGGGTACCAGCCCCATACCCGCCTCTGAATCCAGGCCTAAGCTCCCCTGTCCTCATGGGTAGACATAGCAGTGAAGTCCTTGCAGCTGAAAGGTAAACACGCAGCAGTGAGAGCCCATCATGAGGGGTGGTTTTGTGAACCATCATCCTCCAGGGAAAATTACTCCTGAAGGACTTTGATGGTAACAGGCTCTGTTTTTCATTCCCTAATCACTCAGAAAAATACTTCCATTTCAGTTTATTCAAAACAGTGGAAAATTATTGAGGATTTTCCTGTGTAAAGGTCAAACTATAAAAAGATAAGTGCACTCAGAAATCCAGGCTAGTCACGAAAACGTGGCAGTGTATTGAAATAGATCCTAAAAAGGATTTAACCCTACTTTGGAAATTGCTCCTAATAATCCGTTCTCCACTCTCCCCTAACATGTGTTAAATTCTGTTTTTAGGTTCAAGAACACGAAGTAAGTGATTTTCAATGGGCTGTACAGACCAGGGTCCTGTATCAGAATCCCTGACCAGCTGCTACACACCACGTGCAAAACCTGGAGCAAGTACTGTCAGGTCCCTTGACCCACAGGATCCCCACCCCGGTGCCCTCCCAGAGGCTGGGTGTGCTGCCTGGCCAGGTCCGAGCTGGCAGGCATGGAAGTCCTTTGCTGAAAGATAAACAAGTATCTGGGAAAGCCCCATCACAAGAACGTTTTAAAGAGGTATTTGGTAATTTCTGTACTTCTATGAAGCTGAGTTAAGTGACAAGAGAGTGATAGAATGTTTTGAAAACACAGCCTGGAGAGTAAAATCCTCACTTTTCTCTGTATTAATTAAAAACTTGGAGAAAATTTTTGAGTGTCTTTGGGGAAAATAAGGAAAATTGTGTCCCCTCTTCTTTATTGAGTCAAGGCTCCACCTGTTCAATTTTGTATAGTTCTGCGTGGGGGTTAAGCCCAGCCTGGTCTCTCCCACATCAGCCCACTCGCTGGTGGAGAGAGGAGGGAATTTGGGAGATGAGGTCAGGTATCCTGGTGGCAGTCCCCGGGCTTGGGAGGCCTCCAAGCCCCGCTAATAGGAGCTGGCTTTTGTTTCTTGATTTGTGTCCAAGTAGAAACAGAAGGCGTGGCACAGGCAAAAACCTGTAGGGGGAAGCGCTGGCTCTTGGGTCTGGCCAGCAGGGCATGGAGGAGATGAGGGAGGCTGGTAGCAGCCAGTTCCTGAAGACATCAGACTGAACGAATGACATGTTTCATTTGTGTTCTACAAAGGTCAAAGGGCTGTGCAAGCAGGAGGGCTCAGAGGCAGCGGGGCCAGGTAGGAAGTTGCCTTGGTCGCCAGGGGACGTGGTGACAGGGATGCAGAAGATGGACCGAGGACTGATGGGCTGTGACTGGGGCGACATGGAGGGCAAGGGAGAGCCAGGCCTGGGCACTTGGGTGGCTGGTGAGCCTCTGGATGAAATGAAGTGTGGGAGGGCTGATACGGATTTGGGAATCTATGATAAGTTAGAGTTGGACAGGTAGCAACTGAGGTGCCTGAGGGACATCCAGGTGGATCTGTCCATGGGGTCACGGGACATAACGTGCACGGTTAGGGCGAGAGTCAAGCCAGAGACAGAAAGGTGGATGAGGCCAGTAACTGAAGCCCAAGAGCAGATGCGATCCCACGGAGTGTGTGCAGGATGGGATCCTAAGAGGGCCAGGGAGAAGCTCTAGGAATCACTGATAGTGGACTTTGAGAAAGCAGACACCATGGAGAAGCCTAAGGAATGGTCAGAGCAGTGACAGGAAGCCGTGGGGTCAGGCGGACCCTGAGATGAGAACGTGCAGGGGTGGGGGCAGTAGGAAGGATCACTTCAGAGGCTGGGCTCACGGCTGGGTAACCCGCGGATGACCGACAGGATGGGCCTGCTCAGCATGATGACAACTCATCATAGCTTTCAGCCAGCTCTGCAAGTTCGCTGAAGGCTTGTTTTCCTAGTTAAAGGTTAAGAGTGGACTTCTTTGAAAGCTTCCAGAGATCTAGCTGTGAAAACTTTATCCCACATCTTACATTTTCTCCCTGCTAGGACCTTTTTAGGTTAGGTAACCTGAAAAGTGTAACCCCGGCTATGGCATTTATATTATTTTAATCGTGACTTAAAAAAATATATTTATAGCCAATGCTCAAAACATCAACATGAAGTTCTATTTTGCTATCTTTTATACTCTTCAAATGAGCCTAATATTTTTGTAGTGTAATTTGTAGACACTTGGAGAGTCTACTTCTTTAGCCTTTTTCTTTGTTTTAGGTCACAAGAGGCCTGTCTTAGACCATTAACTATTTAATGTGACATGCTCTGCTCTGCAAAGTAAAAGAGAAAGGGCAGTTTTTGGCTCAGATACAGCAGCTTTGCCCCTACATGTGTCCAACAGCCTAATTTAGTATTAAAGCTCTGAAATGGTTGATTATCCATTAGGGTAACTATTTAAAGAGTTCATCACATCAGATTCAAACTGACAACATCCGTGCTGCAAGGGCAGCCAGGCGAGGCCAGAAAGAAACGGAATCTGAACGGAGCTGTGGAGTCTGCCTTTTGTGAGGCTCCAACACCAGACATCCATTAAGAAAAGTAACAGGTTTCTGTCGCACTGTGCCTGGTGATCAGGCATGTGCCAGCTGCTTCCTGCTGGGCGCGGGTCAGAGAGGACCCCTTGCTGAGAATGAAGGCCCTCATGGGGCATGGCTCGCCCTTTTCCCTGGACCCTTCCCCTGTTCTGTGCCTTCCTCCTATCTCCCCATGTCCTGTGCCAGCCCTTATCTCCTCCTCTCTGGGGCCTGACACCCTGAGCTGTCCCAGACACTCCACGTCCCGCATGTTCCTACACAGGTCATTGCAGTGCCACCAGCAGAGTTTGTGCCACCCCTCCTGACCCTCTCATCCAGCATGTCATCGACAAACTGCAAAATCTAAGTCTAAGGTCACTGTCATTTTCTAAGCTTGGCAGGTTACCTGTGATGGTACCACCCAATTGGTTCCTTCACTCTGCTTCCCCCTTGTATGCTCAGCAAACAGTTTACCTTGGCAGGTTCACCAGGAAGCAGTAATATTGCTAAACCAGGCGCTTGATGGACCTTTTATTTCTGCAGTTGTGTGTGTGTAGGTAGGTGTGCCTCAGGTGGATGTTTACCAGTTTCCAGGCTGAAATTATTGCTGCCCATGCTACCAGAGCAGCCTTTGGGGCATCAGCTCAGCTACCTGGCATGTCAGGCCATGGGCAATGCTATAATCCAGGGGCCCCAGGGCTGGTCCTAGGGCCTGCCTTGTCCAAGCCCAGGTGGGGATGCCTCATCCCCACTGGAGCTCTGTGGCTGAAGAGCTCCCTATGGAGTCCTGGGGCCCTGTTACAAACACGGCACCCAAGGCTCTTTAGAGTGGCCCCTGTGGTTTCTGCCTAGACCCCATCTTCAGGGCTGGCACATCCATCCCCTAGATGTGGGGAATATCTCACAGCTGTGACCCCCCTGGGAATTGCCCTCAGCAGACAGGAACTGCCTCCTTTGAGGTTAAGTCCCCTCCCAGAGGTTGGCCTGTCGTCAATGACTAGCTGATGCGGAAGGGGCTCTGAGGCCATATCAGCTCCCGTGTTCCCTGCGGAATTTCTGAGGCCTCAGTTGGGACCACAGTCCAGGTGGGTTTCTCCCTGTGCCCAACATGCCTCCTTTACTTCCTTGCACTGATCATTAGGTCTGCTACAACGTGGGTCCCAGTCTAAGGCAGCTGCCCTGGCTTAGCTGAGAGGGCTGGGCTCACCCACAGCCCCTCCCCTCCTCCAGAGCTGCCCTGGCCATTCTGAGTTGGGGCTGCTGACAGGCCTCAGTTGCTCTATCGTTATACTCACTCTTACATTTAAACCTCCTCAAGGAGTCACTTGGAAGGCATTCATTTTTTGGGGGACTTGAATTTAGGAAGAAATTGTTTTTTGGGGCCTTTGGTCTGTGCTTGATTTGTGTTCATGCCACCAACACCAATAACTGGGGAAGAGATTGAGCTTTCTTTGCTGTGGCTGCTGGGAAGCTTGGAGCCTAGCACGAGACTCATGTGTTGCAAGACACCCTGGGGCCTTTTAATTCCCCTTTCTGCACCTTCCTCACTGCTGCTATTTGTGTTGTTCTGCTGTGTCACTCAGCTCCCTCTGAGCCGCCGCGGAGTCTGTTTGGAAGGAGGTGGGCTGTAACCAAGTGAACACATACCTGCAGCAGTAGGGGTGTGCTTCCAGGCAGACCCGGCTGCTGGGTAGCAGCTCTGGGACATTTGCCAAGTCACAACTTCTCTAACACCATCAATTCTTCAGCCAGGGAATGGTCTGATTCCTGCATCAGAACTGTTTTGAAAATACTATATAGTAAGCAAGTGGCTGCTACACATCAAGTGCTCAGTAAAAGTAGGTGTTGATAACAATGTTTCATAAAATCATGTTGCCCTCATGAATCTACCCTACTCTGTGGTCCTGTCTCCCTCTTTCCTCCCTATCACATGCTGGCTGCCAGCCAGAATGCACTTCTGGCCTGTTGGGTTTCACTTTCTCATGGGAAAAAGACACCTGCCCAGGCACCCACAGCTCACGGCAGGCTGTGCGGACCAGCAGAAGGCCAGTGGAGATGTTCACCAATTGTTAATCCAGGCAGGCAGATACACAATGGAAGTGCCCATCATACAAATGGCTGCAAAAAAGCTAAAAATACAACTCTTTATGTAAACTGAGCCTCCCGAAAATGACAAAAAGGTTGTAGATGAGAGATTGGTGATGAGTAATTTAACCAAGAAGGTATAAATCTAGGCCTTTGAATACTTTAAATATAACCATCTGATACAAAAAGAATTGCACTAAATTTTTTAAAGCTGAGATCTTTCCTAGGGTGAGAGACTCTCTTTCCTGATAGGGACATGTTCCCCAAAAGGCAAGTGGAGAAGTCACACAATAACATCCATGTCGGCATCACAGCCCCCTCCAGGCAGCTTAGGAGTTTTTACACACCTTGTAGTCTACACTCGCACCCCAAATGCCACACATTACCTGGCAAACTGCTTGGGAAGCCATATTGGAGCAGAAAAGCTCATCTCAAAGAGGAGGTGGCTTGGGAAAATCTCTCATTCCTAAAGTCAGCCTGCCCCTGGCTCTGTCTCCTCATAAATGCCACATGGGCTTGAACCTGAACTGTGAGCTCATCCAAAGATGGGTATGAAACTGGAGTTCCTTGTCTTTGGGTTGAGAAGTCGGGAGCAGGGAACCGTCCTCATGGCAGATCTAGAATAGGCCTCCTGAGTGCATCCTGGAAGGAGAGGGGGGAAGGCAGAGGGGGCAGGATGCTGAAGAGGGACTCAAGGGCAGGACGGAGTGCGGGCAAAGCTGGGTACAGAGCAGTCCCCGATGGGTCTATTTGTAGAAGTGAGCCTCAGAAAGGGGGAGAGGAGCAGAGAAGTAAGGGAGGTTGCAGAGGAAGCCAAGTATTTGTCTGGGCCATTTAGTCCTGGAGGGCTGAGGGGTGTTGGGCCACATCCCTGGGGCTGGTTTAGGAGGGGACAGGTAGGTCTTCGGGGAAACCACCTCAGAGCTCTTAGGGCCACTGATGGGACAGGCAGAGGTTTGGGACAGATGGCCCTTGAACTAGGGTCCCCCTGCAGGGACTGGCTGAAGTTCTGGGGCATGGACTGAGCACGCTAACCAACCTCGG